TGTGTGTGTGTGTGTGTGTGTGTGTGTGTGTGTGTATGTGCTTGTGTGGGTGGGGGGACGGTCTGCCGCAGATAACAGAGCAGACAGGAGGGAGAGGATGGGGAGAATAGTGGTGAACTAACTAATTTTATCTGACTTGTTTAATTTTATTTATTGTTTTTTTCATCCTGCAGGCTCTGAGAGTAAATTAATTGGAAGCTGAGTTTTTGATAAAAATCCTTAGATTATTCTAAACATCTACAAACCTGCAAAATGAGCTGTGTCAATTACAGACATTCTGTTCACATGAGCAGTTGTCAGCATCTGTCATCCTCCAGATGTAGGACGGAGCGCCAATCACTTTTTTGACACTGATCAGCTGACTGATTTAAATACATCTTAACATTCATGAGGTACTTTACATTGACTGTTTATGGTTGAGTGTGGGCGTGTAGAGGGTAGAACCTGAGGCAGGACCTCGCACGCAAACTCTGAGATGAAGCTGTGATCTAAAAAGGAAAGATGTGCAGAAACATGCGTGCACACGGTTTGATAAATCTGATACTTTTTTTTGGCATATGCCATTTTCACCTTTTCACCGTACTTTCACTTTTAGTATGGTTTCCATGCAATCCTTTATAAATCTGGCCCCAGAGCTGCCAGCTAGAGGCAGAGGCAGCCCCGGGTCTATGGCATGTACCCATATTGATTGATTGATATTTCAGGGTTGATAAATTCATAATATATTGTGCAGCTCTACTACCAAGGCCATATTTTAAAGATAAGTTTCTTTTAACTCCATCTTTTACTGTTTATCAGTCACTGGGCCAAGAAGGTAACAGGTCAGGAGAGAATCCCAGGCATCCCTCTGCTAAGCAACGTTTTGTGAAATAACCAAATATCTGCCTCTAACATAAATCACAAATCAAGCAGGTCACATCCCACATACACTTGTACCTAGTGAAATGAAGTGAGCAATGCAAAACAGACATGGAGACTTCAGCTGTGATGACATGGAACACTACACAATAAATGTTACTGATTTATTTTCAAAGTATGATGAATACACTCAGTTTAGTGATCATCTTTGTGGTTAACCAATTATTTTCACTAACTAATAAGTCTGTGTTTTGTTATTGATCTTCATCACTATAATGACTCTTTTGATTGTTGTTTAGCATCTTAATCCTGTGATTAGGTGGTTGCATGGACTATATACCAACACTATATCACCGCATGATTACCATTATGGCTCGGGTACATGTTGGCTTCAAGCCCCTATACTGCCTCAGTCTATTAAAACATCCCACTGAGTTGGCCAGAAGGCATCTGAGTCCTGGCTCTAAGTGTTAAAAATGTCTTGTAATTACCCCAGTCAGCAGAGATGGAAAAAGTACAGAATTACCCCAGAAAACGACCACGGCTCGTGGAAACGCACCTTTAGCATTTTTGTTTGCAAAGATGTAGAACAGGTTTTTGTTTTCATCATCGCAAGAACTTTATATGAAAAGAAAAACAAGGAAAACCAAAAATTTGCAGTTTGCATTTTACTACAATGTTAAGGAATAAACAAAACATACTTGATATAATTTTGCTATGTGAACTGTCATTCCTGCATAACTGATCATTGAGTAATGTACATGACTGTATATGATACTCAGTACTCTATTAAGAATTTAACTTTTCAATTAAAAAGATCAAACTGAAATAAATCTTAACTCCAGTCATAGTACACATGTATGTTTAAATCACTGTGTGCATGGGTCACAATTATTCATTCATCTAAATGTCTCAGCACCACAATCTATCATTTTATAGTTTGCTCATGAAGGGAGACAGCAGTTCCCTGTGAAAACACACAGTTGGGCCCATCAAACATACCTCAAACAGAAGACCTGCACTATGTTATAAGCCAGCTGCTAAAATTGAGTAATGTGCATTAGTGAGAATATGCCAGGTCATTGTTAAGATACCATTATCTGTATAGACAATTTATCTTAATGTGTTTATGTGCCCATTTTGGATACTGTAGTGTGTGTCAGCATAGGTGTTATCAGTGTGTAACCTTGTGTCACGGTGATCCCCTACTTTCAGTCTGACTGACTCCCACATGACTGACTCCCCCTCCCCTGCCTCTGCTCTATGTCTGTTTGCCACACACTGACATATTTAGGTAAAGTCATGACAAATTGCCTCATGGAAACGTTAGCTAAACGGGTGGAAAAGCTCAGGGCCAACACACACGCAGGGGAAATGAGCTGCTACAAAGATTCATGTATGGGTTTAGTGTTAAGACAAGGCTAATGCTGTTGTCCTCCTAGCTGTTAAGAGCTCTAGAAGTAATCAGACATCTTAGTGAATATAGTTTGTTTTATAAAACGTGAGCTTTTACACAGTTTCTGTAAAGATGAAAAATGTACGAATATTTGGGTAAAAAAGAATTTGCTAGTTGTCTTTTAAAAATTTATTTAACTACATTACACAAATATATACCTGTATATGTAATCCATTTTTGTTCTTTACTGCAATTTCATTCTGCATTGCATCTTTGATGTTGTGTGTGAATGACAATAAAGCTGATTCTGATACTGATTTTTGTAAAATATTGGTGTAGATAGTCATCCAGGACATTTCAATTCCTACAATTTTTTTTACTAAGACATCTACTGTTACACAATGAGTTATTCAATAATAAAGCTCTGTATCTGTTGTATAATGCAATATGTTCCACATTTAATCTATCGTATTGAAGTCTGGGGGAAAGCATGTAAAACATTTACAAATCCTTTTCTTGTTTTACAGAAAAGAGCTGTAAGAATTATCACTAGCAAACATTAGTCACCTATAAAATATTTTATTTTATCAATTGAAATGAGTGAAATTCTGAGTTGGTTGATTGTAGTATTTTACAGGTTATGTACAGAGCTTACAAAAACATATTGCCTTTAAACATCCGTGTGAATTTTGTTAAGAGAGAATGTTATTACAATTTCAAGGGGATAGAGATATTTGTGACACCTAAATTTAGAACGAGTTTGAAGGAGTGAGAAGACTAACTTGAAAAGAGTTGATTGAGTTGTGATTTGAGGGTCTGTAGAGGGTTGTCTGAAGGAAGAGCATTCCGGAGTTGGGGAGCAGAGTAAAAAAAAGGTTACTGGTATTTTCCATGTTGCTGAGGCAGACAAAGTGCAGTGAAGTAAATAGAAGAGGAACAGAGGGAGCGTGAATGGGTGGTGATGTGCAGTTGATCAGACAGGTGAAGAGGAGTGAGGTTGTGGATGGCCTTGAATGCGTACAGCAGGATTGTGAGCATGATCGGAAGCCAATGATGTTGTTGTAAAACTAGGTGATGTGGTGAAATCAGTGGGGTTTGGTGGTGATGCGAGCAGCTGACTTTTGAACTACTGTATAGAAGCTTTGAGAGGGCTTTGTGAGGCGGATCAAAGGGGAGAGAGTCACAGTAATCAATTTGGGAAATGACCAGACTATGCAACCCATTCTCACTCCCGAGTCGTCACATATTGACGTTTTTCAAAGGTCCCTTTGCGTCCAATTTTGACGCATCAGGTACCCCCCTTGCGTCATATTTTGACGGGATGGGGCGGAATCTGTTGTCGTAATTTCTGAAAGTGTAGAAAATGCACAAATACTACCGTCCCAAAGCGTGAAATTACGTTTATTCACTTTAGACATCCTGTCCCAGACCCTAGTACCTAAAATTAACCATTAACCCTGATACGTAAAATTAACCATTTTTAGAAAATGTAGGAAATTCATGGCAACTACGTGTTGCAAAGCCTAAAATTACCTAATGTTCACTGTAGACATCCTATCCCTGACCCCAGTCCCTAAACTTAACCATTTATCCTGATCCCTAATGTTAACCTCAGACCCCCGACCCAAAGACCCCTGGTGGCGCAACCCGGAAAAGCCGCGGGCGGCAAGGACTGACGCGAGGGGGGTACCTGATGCGTCAAAATTGGACGCAAAGGGACCTTTGAAAAACGTCAATATGTGACGACTCGGGAGTGAGAATGTGTTGGACTATGAACCAGGATATTATTGGTGTGAGAGTGAAACGAGAGAGTGCTGTCAATAAGGACAGCTAGACTCCAGATTGTTTGAAGCATTTTTGTCAAAGAGGTCAATTTAACTTGACCATGACTGATTTATCTTAAAAATAAAAGGGCAAAACATCCAAAGAGGTGAATACTTTTTACAGTGACAGTATTTACATTATTTTCAGTGGTTTTTCTGAAACTGATAAGTTGTCATGTAAATACTTTAGACGTCATCTTTGTTTAACATTTGTAGGGGTCACCTCGAGTTATCAAGGAAACTGTCTTGGACTGTCATTCCTCTGATGGGCCTTCTAATGGACAAAAACTCTGTTCCACAGAACTGTATTTAGGCCACCCCAGGTCACTTAACCATTTAAAGAGACATTCTCTTTCCTTCTAAATCAGATAAAAACAGAAGAATCTTCTCTTATTTGATTTACTGTTCTCTTAACTGAAAGTATTACGCATTTTGATAATCAGAGAATGTTTATCAAAGTTACAGGAGAAGAGAGGACAGATCTCTTTTCTCCCTCAGTATGATTTCAGCTATGTATGGTTTTTCTGTGGGAAAAAAATCTTATTTAACTAAAATAATCTTTATGATATGATTTACAAAATTGTTCAACAGTCAGCGGAACTAAGAACCAGACCAGGAGACAGGAATAAAAAGGTAAGTGCTTTTTATTTACAGGTGCAGGGTAGTGGGTCATCAGCTGTAAGGGAATGAGGAGATGAGGTGAGTATTTTTGAAAGGTTCAGTCTTTCTTTTCAGAGATGGTTTGAATGTTAATTAAAGCGTTTCTTGTCTTACATGTCTTCTGGAGGTGAGCAGCACAGAATGGAGGAGGAATCCAAAAACACAGGTGAGTTCCTTTTAGGCAGCGTGGCATAAATATGAAGAGGTGTTGGAGACGTTTGGCTTTGGCAGGAGGTAATGATTGTCAAACCTGATTGGAAGTCTCTTTTCTTTGCAGGCACAAGGAGAGGTACCGTCAGTGAGGTCAATCCACCTTAGGAAACAGGACCTGAAGGTAAGTACAATCTTCTAAACTTAGAAACTGAGTGTGGCTTGGATTCTACCAGAATGGTAAGATGTACCAGCGAAGATCTGTCAGTCAGGATGACTTATAAAGCCCCAGTGGCTCATTTGGAGAATCTTCCTCAGTGGTGCAGGAAACAATGAGGCAGCCAATCATCAAACATGAACACCAAAAAGCCAATCATAACACTTTATGGTTTAAGTTGATGAAATATCAATGTTTTCCTTGTCTGAATCATATTTGCAAATGTTTTGAACTTGAAGCAATTCATTTTTCTTTCAGTTATGTTTTGAATAAGTACTCATCAGATAATTTAAACGGGTCATGAAATGTMTTGTTCTGAACCACACAGCAGCAGCAATAATCTTTGTTTTAGTTTCAGGAGGGCACAGTGAGTTCTGAAGCTAACACTTTCCTTGATAATTTCTTTTCTAATCTAAACTTCCGGAGGGCGGATTTTAGATTCTCTAAGTTTTTAGAAACTAACAGTTTCCGCCCGTCCAGTAGAGAAAAAAAGTGGTGACTAACCGCCGTCAGTCACTGTGACAGCTAGATTCTCTCCGGGGAATCAAAAGCTGAAAACTATGTCAGGTTTGGCCCCTTCACGCCAACGGGGAAACTTCACAGTGTGGAAAACCAATGCCTGGTTTATCCACCTTCAGAAACTCTCCAGACGGAAGTTTTATTTAAAACCTGGGTTCCAGTCAAGGCCTTGCCTTCTGCTACGGCGGACGTGGTAAAGCGAGTAGACCTACATGCCTAGGTCACTCTGGTGGACTGTCCTAAGCGGATTCTCTCAGCAGCACCCCCATCTACCTGGCAGGTGACAGAACATCATCTCAAGTTAAAAGCTGGCTGTGTGTGTGACGTCGAGGTCTGACCAAAGCTGAGCACAGAACGCTTCGCCCTTCTGGTTAAACCCACATTATTTAAGATAAAGTATAAGAAAGCTAACATATTTCTTCCTCCCTTCTCTTAAACTCTTCTTCGCCAACCCTAAGATAAACAGCCTCAAATGTCTAGAATTTAACACCAAAGCTAGACGGTTGTGTTTCTATTTAAGTGTGGTTAACAGTTAAGAAGTTAAAAGCTTGTTTATTGTTGGTCCCAAAACTTTTTATAGGAAATTAATTGTTCACAATCAAGTGTACTCTGGTGATTTTGTATGATTTGTAAAATAAATGATTGCATATTATGGTTCAAATCAACATTCACTGACTGAGAGTTACTTTTTGTGTCCATTCATTCTTGCACTCAAAAAATGTTTTTCCAAAAATAAAAGAGATCCTTGCTAATTAAATTACTCTTATAACCTTGTTATAAGAAGTGTAAGATAAACGCTTACAAATGGTGGAGAAATGCGTTCTTACACATTTTAAAATTTAAATTCTGCTAATAATACTTAGGAAAGATTTCTGCTAAAAACCGTAGTGTTCTTCTGGCTGGAGAGATTGAGATCAAAAACATAACGAAGTTCTAAAGAAATAATAGTTAGATGAATATCTCTCTGAACTATAACTTTGTTGTATGCTGAATGCAAATGACCCCAGTGACACACTTTTGAATTGAATCATCACCTTCAGTTTGCCAGTGACACATCATTATGACAGCAAACCCCAGCACGAAGAAGAGGGTGACACTGGAACACCCTGAAAGCACAGTTTCAGCAGTCTGGAATGAGAAGATAAGGCAAGTAAGTCTGCTAAAAGTGAAATGTGGGAAGAGCTGACATGTAACCCAAGTGTGTCTTTTCTCAAGAGTGCTGCTGGATAACTGCCCCAGGCCTGCATTCAACAAGGTGAGTGAGAGAATCCTAATGAAGCTGTGAGGACGCAATCAATACCAGCTCGACATGGAGCTGATGGGGGATTTGCTGTGAGGCACAGGAGGAGGGAAGAGAAGGGAAGATGTATGAGGAATATGGCGATGGATGGTTGGATGGATGGATGGATGGATGGATGGATGGATGGATGGATGGATGGATGGATGGATGGATGGATGG